CCCGGCCCCGCGCCAGCCCGGCCGGCCCCCGGGCGGGGGCCCGGCTCGGTCCGCTCCCGGTTCGGCTCAGCCCGCTCCCGGTCCTTGGCCCAGCTGCGCTCAGCCCGGCCCTTGGCCCGGCTCGGCTCCGCTCGCTCCTGGTCCCTATGGCGGCTCGGCTGGGCTCCGCCCGGTCTCGGTCTCAGACCCGGCTCAGCTCCGCCCGGTCCCGCTCTTAGTCCCGGCTCTGCTTCGCCTGGTCCCTATCGCGGTCCCAGCTCACTCAGCCCACTCCCTATCGCTGTCCTGGTCCTGGCTCGGCTCAGCCCGGTCCCTATCGCTCTCTTGTCCCGGTTCGGCTCGGCGCGGCGCGGCGCGGCGCGGCGTCTCCCGCGTCCTGTCCCGTTCCCGGCTCAGCGCGGTCCCCGTGCCTGCCCCGCCCCGGCCGTGGGGTGACGCGGGCCGGGGGCGGCGCGGCGGCCCCGCTTCCGGCGGTGACTTCACCCGCTCCCGCCTGGACACTGCTTCGGCTCGGCTCGGCTCGGCTCGGCTCGGCATGGCACGGGCACGACACAGCACAGCTCGGCAGGGCACGACACAGCCCGACATGGCACTGCCCGGCATGGCACGACCTCACACAGCCTAGCGCAGCCCAGCCCAGCCCAGCCCAGCCCAGCCCAGCGCAATCCATCAAGGCTTGGTACAGCCCAGCATGGCACAGCATCGCCTGGCATAGCGCAGCCTGGCATGGCATAGCACAGCCTGGCATGGCACAGCCTGGCTCGCTGCGACATGCCCTCACATGGCACAGCCCAGCAGAGCCCCCTTAGCCCAGCATTGCCCCCAGCTCTGCCACACCCTAGCCAAGCTGTCCCTCACAGACAGACCCAGGCCCTACCACGTTGGTGTCCTTCTCCAGCACCTGCTCATTGCCATCGTCCTCATCACCAGCACTTGGGGGGCCACTGCAGTCCAGCCGCACCAGGGCCCGGCACCGGTAGTGGCAGGTGAAGCTGCAGTCTGGGGACAGAGAAGGACCAGTGTCACCACCATGGACAAGCTGGGTGTCAGGGTCAGGGCACTGGTGTGTGGTGGGACAAGGGCTGGCACATGGTGCTGCTGCTGCTGCCTGCTCATGCTGTGCCTGAGGGCTCAGGGGTAGCCCCAACATGGGACATGGCACTGTGCCATGTGCTGGCTGGTCCCACTGTATCTGTGCTTCCTGCTGGGCTGGGCAGCATGGTATGCTCAGTATGGACACCAGTGTGCGTGTCCAGTACTGGGATGGCCAGTGGCCAGTGTGGGTACTCAGTGCTGGAATACCTGGTACCTGGTGCAGGTGCCCAGTACAGGGATTTGTGATGCCTGGTGAGGCATCACCAGGGGCTGCCCAGTACCTGATGTGAGTGCCAAATACAGGGATGTCCAGTGTTTGGTGGCAGTTCCTGGTGCCCAGAGGTCCAGTGCCAGTGCAGGAGCCCAGAATGATGATGCCCAATTTAATGGAAGTGCCTGGCACCAGGATGCCTGCTGGGGGTAATTGGTGTYAAGGTGTCTGTACCCAGCCCAGTGCTGGGATGTTCAGTGCCTGGTGCTGGGATGCCTGTGCCCAGTAGTGGGACAGCTGGTGCTCAGTGAGGGGATATTCTGCTCATCAGCAGAATAGTCAGGAGCTCRGGGGGGTGCCCGATGGCAGCATGCTTTGTACCTGCTTGTGGTGAGGGTACCTGGTAGCAGCGTGCCCGGTGCTGGGAAACCCATRCCCAGGGGTGGGAAACCTATGCCCGGGAGTGGGACAGCCCGTGCTCAGTGGGGGGGCTGGTACCAGGATGCCCAGTGTCCTGTCGGGCTGCCCGGTGGTGGGGATGCCCGGTAGCGGGATATCCGGTGCTCGGTGGGGATGCCCAGGGCTGAGGAAGCCGAGTGGCGGGACGCCCGGTGCCTAGCGGGGATGCCAAGTGCGGGATGCCCGGTGCCTGGCGGGGATGCCAAGTGCGGGACGCCCGGTGCCTGGCGGGGATGCCAAGTGCGGGACGCCCGGTGCCTGGCGGGGATGCCAAGTGCGGCACGCCCGGTGCCCGGGGGTGGGATGCCCGCGGCGGGGGTGCGGGGTTCCGGGGCGCGGCGCGGTACTCACAGCGGCACTGGAGGCTCTTCCTGCCGCCGCCCCAGACGAAGTCCCCGCAGAGATCGCACCAGGTGTGCAGCCCGCGGCGCCGGGGCTCGAAGCGGTGCCCGGCGCCCGGTGCCGCCGTCAGCCGCGGGTCAGGATGCGCCCCG